TTTATCATTACATTATGGAAAATAATGACCTTTATCACAATATGCTAATTTTTTGAGAAGGACCTGTACACCTCCTTGGAGTTAAATTCAGGCCTAAAAAAATCCAGCCCGAGCCAAGACCGTAGGTTTTTTCCAAGTCCAAAAAGGACCTGACAAATTAATTGTAATTAAAGGACCAAACCCCCTCAAAAAACTTTTTTTTTTTAATTAGGCTTTTACTGCTTTTGTAAGCAAATCATGACATGATAGTTTTAAAAGCTTAACCAAAAGAAAATATAAGAATTCTTGTTTTTTAACAAGTCACCAAATGGATATTAACATACGCACAGACGCATGGCACAACACAGGAGAGCTTCTTCCTCAGGACAAGATTCAGCTGTTCACCTCCACCTCACAGAGAAGGAAAACTCTTTTGAGGACCAAATTTGGACCGAGAACACAGATGGTTTGAGAGGGGGGTGAAGGAAGCAATTTATGTAAAAAGAGAAAAGCCATCTTTTAACAGAGGAGGAGGCCTCAGATTTCCACTTTCTAAAACATATAATGCAACTTTAAGACAGATTCCCAGCCGGTTTTCACACCTGATGGGAACAGAGGGGCTTCGTCTGTGAATTAGAGTAATAAAAGACTCTTATTGTTAAGGTGTTTAGGTGTGAATTGCCAATCTACATATGTGTGTGTGTCTTATCTCAGTCAGCCTTATAACCTGAATCTCTCACTCACTGCTCTTTGAATTGAGAAAGCTCCTTGGATGAGAAGCGAAACGTCTTCTGTTAGAAATAAAGTCCAGTTGTTTTTGTATTGAACGTTTTTTGAATTCATCATGTCCTGGATGACTGAGAATCTTCACCAGGATATTAACATAAAAAATGAATAACCTAAAAAATCAGCTCTAAAGATAAGCTATTACACAGATGAACAAAAATATTTTTAGAGCTAAATTATTTGAAAAAATATAAAACAAGGCAGGCAGCACGGTGGCGCAACTGGTAGAGCTGCTGCCTCTCAGCGAACAGGTCCCTGGTTCAAATCCTGGTCCGGGGGCCTTTCTAGGCAGAGTTTGCATGTTCTCTCCGTGCATGCGTGGGTTATCTCCGGGTTCTCCGATTTCCTCCCACAGACCAAAAACATGCATGTTAGGCTGATTGGTAACTCTAAATTGTCCCCATCTGTGAGTGCGAGAATGAATGGTTGTTTGTCTCATATGTCTATGTGGCCCTGTGATGGTCCAGGGTGTACCCCGCCCCTCGCACAGTGATTGCTGGACATGGGCACCGGAGACCCCCGTGACCCAAAATGGAAGAAGTGGGTAAAAGATGATGGATGGATGGATGGATGGATGGATGGATGGATGGATGGATGGAT